AAGAAAAGTCAGCCTTGTGTCAATAATCTAATTCCCAGTTGCCAGCCATCTTTCCCACTTCTCTGGGGTTAGGGGATGTGATGAGAAATAAGCCAGGTTGCGAAGTCCATTGTGGGGGTTGGGAGAGTCTAAGTGAGTAGGGGTCTTCTCAAAGGTCAGCCTCAGGACACATAATCACAGACATCCATTACTGAATGTTTGTGACTTCAGACAAATTCGTCCCCCTTTTTGAACTTCTGTTTCAGCTTTGCATATTTCCTTGTTAACACTATAGTTCCAACTCTGACCAAATTAAAAAGTTACTAATCGCGTAAAATCCACTTAGGGTTGACTGAATATAATCTATGAAATCATTAAAATATCTCCAGACACAGAAACACTAAATATAAATCATTCTCAGGCTAGGAGTTTTCCTTGCGAATGTTATTTGTTTATTCATTTATTTAGGAGGTATTTTGATCTTGGAGTTCTGCTTGTTTCAGATTATCAACTAAATAAAACTACCATGAGCTTGACAACCAAAGCATTGTTCTTAAAATCTGTGCAAATTCAGGTTATAACTATTATATAATTGTAAATAGTTCAGAAATACTGTTATGTTGTTGATAAAATTGACCCCTGCTTTTTAAGCCATACTACTGACAACAGAATTCAGAGAAAGCTTCCAGGGTGGGTTAAACCTGAACTGAAGTCAGGAAGCTAAGCGTCATTTCTAATAGAGGAAGCTGTGCATGAGCCAACAGGTGGATTTGGACTTCATGATCCTCGGAGACAGTGAGGGGAGGGTCTGGGAAGTGCTACTGCTAAGGAGTCTGTTAGGTTTTTCCACATAAGAAACTGAAAGCCATATATAAATATATATATGTATGTGTGTGTGTGTGTATACAACATTTGCCAGTATTACTCATAAACTACATAAATAAGAAACAGTGCTTGGTTTGGTTGAATGGCACCTTTAATTCTGCTTTCTTCTTAGTTTTTAAGGCCGAATTGTTGCCTGTGTACTTCTTGATGGTAAACTCAAAAATATTGTACGTCTGTGTCATGGCAGCCATTTTGCTCACCACGGCGGACTGCCCTCATTTCTGCCCTCACAGATGAATAAATTCCAAGACTAGGCTGCATGAAAGGCCTGAAAAAAACTAGAGAGATATTTTAAAGAGAGCAGTCATTTCAAGGGGATCAAAAGTGCCACCTGCACTGCCTATTTGCTCATCAAGACTGCCAGCAGGAGCAGGCAGTTGGCAGTTGATGTGCCTTCGTGTGCATCCAAGCTCCATTTCTGATTACATTTCCCTGCTGATGTGCACCCTGGGAGACCATGGATGATGGCTGAGGTACTCAGGTTTCTGCTTCCTTCATGAGAGACCTGAATTGAGTTCCTGGATCCTAGCTTTAATCTGATCCAGTTCTAGCAGCTGTAGATATTTAGGTAGTAAACCAGTGGATAAAAGATCTGTCTCTGATTTAACCTCTCTCTCTCTCTCTTTCTCTCTCTCTCTCCCTGTTTGTATTTCATTTGCTTTTTAGACAAATAAAAATAATTACATAAAAAATGTAAGAGCAGAAAAATTGGTAGTAGATCTTAGTAGGCTCACATCATTAAGAGCGTAGTGTTATTCATTATTCCAAACTCTCCATTTTGCCTTTTATTATAGCTGAAAAACCTTTTCCCCAGACATAAACAAAGGAGTACTGTGTAATCTCACTTGCATATGGAATCTGAAAAGTCAATCTTGCAGAAAGCAGAATGTAAATTTCCACTGTCCAGGGTAGGAGGATGTGGTGAGGAACAGAAGATGCTGACCAATGGCAACCAACTTGTTTCAGATGAACAGGTACTGAAGACCCGATGTGTTACCAGCAGTGACAAATGTGCTAACTAATCTGATTGAGGGAATCATTACACAACATATGTTTGTCTAATCATCACATTACACATCACGGATACATTCAATCTTTATTCTAGTAATCATTTTAAAAGAAAAAGTTTAAATTTCAAAATGTTTTTCATAAAGTCATTTATATTCAACCATTGTGAAAGAGCTTTCTCAGGAGTTTTACATTTTTAGGCTTAATTCTGGGCTCTTTAGCTCAAAGGAGTAGCAACGTAAGCAGTCCCAGTTTCAAGCTTATCCCCATGTCCCAGCCTATGGTTTGAAAACAACTAAAGAAAAAACATCTCTTCAAGACATCATTGTTATCACTAACCACAAATCATGCTGTTGTCCTGGATTTTTTCTTTCATGTCAGATACAGTCCAAAAAGTGTATCTGTCCTATAGCAGGAGGACTGCCATATCGCATGCTGTCTCTTACACCTTTCATTATTATTCCACCCCCAATTAAGATGTCTGCAGGAGATTCACATGATAGTCTGTTAGTGAGAGATCAAATACATGCAGCAGCTGTTTATTTGCAAACAGAAACTGTGATGAGCACACGATACAGAAAGATGGTTAATTTCTTATGCTTATTTCTTTCCATTTACATTAGGTTATTTACTGTTCTTTCCCCTTTACAATTCATCATGTGTGATAAATAGTCTTATTATTTTTCTCCATTATCCATTGCAATAGAAATAGCTGAAATGCTTCAAATAGCCAAGGAATAACACAATAGATAGCTCAAGTCTTTGGTAGTAATAGCATTAATAATAACAATAACAGCCGAATAAGTGCCAAGTCCTTAGTACGTACCAGGCACATCTCTGCAGATCTTATATACATCATGTATTATTCATAATACACCATGACATACGTGGGCAACATTATCTACACTCTCTGTCAGGTTACTTGGTAGCATTGTGATTATTTAAATCCAGACCTTCCTGACCACACAGAGCAGAAAGGAAGAAGGTAAAGTGAGATGAAATACAGAGAACAGTGAACAGAGAGAAGGGTGTTGAATAATGAAGTAGAACATCTTCAATCATTACTAATGCATTAAACAAATGTTTAATGAGTACCTAGGACAGGCTGGGTCTAGCATCTACTCCTAGGACAAGTTCCTTGTCTTCCTGAGGCATGTTTTCTCAGAACAACAGAATCTCTATAACAACCGTGGTCCTCCACTCACAAAGGCAATGATCAATGTGTGCCCAACTGTTGGAAACAGAGGGTGGAACCCTACCAAAGAAACTGAAGGTTTCCCAATTCAGATGCCTGGTGAGCAAAAACATAAACAATATATGAGCAGTCTCAAGCTGATTAAGGATGCAAAGGTACAGCAGGCAGGAGGCAAAGTAGGACAGCGTGGGATTGACTTAGCAGAGGAAAGGGATGGATGCTCAGAGAACTGAGAGCTCTGGGGGCTGCAAAGGAGGAAGCACGGGGAGTGTTGTCTCAGAACAGGTGGGCACATGGCTTTGTTATTTCTGGCTTTTTTTTTTTCATTTTAATTGGTTCATTAAAATTGTAATATCTGGGGGTGCCATGTGAAATTTTAACACATGTATACCTTGGTAAACAGAAGAGACCTTTGGGAAGAAGTTGATTAATAGGTACTCTGCTATAGTAAAGAGGAAGAAATTCTTGTGTCCTGTTGCATAGCAGGGTGAGTATAGATAATGAAATACCAATCAAGAAAGGATCTTGATTGTTTTCACCATAAGAAGCTGCTCAGTGTCTGGGGAGGGAGCGTTCATACCATGTTAGGATATGTGTTAGCAGAGGGTACAAGAAGGGAGCTATCACTGGGAGGAGCCTGGTGAGAAGATATGATTCAGAGGGTTGACAGCTCACGTGACTGTTGTCTAAAACGTGGCATGCAAGGTTACCATAGGCCATTAAGTCATGGGAATTACTTCTTCAGCTGTTTTTATTATGACTATAGATTATGATCATCTTAGCATTATGATTATCATGTTTATATTGATGGAGAGCAGGATGACAGATGAGCAATCATGGTCTTTTATCAGAGCTGTGGGGTCCAAAAAGAAGCAGGAGAGAGTGGAGAGGGTGATGTGTCATTTCAGAGCTGGAGGCGGTGGCTGAAACACAAGGCAAGAAGCGCAAAGGCAGATGGGCTATTCCGTTTGATGCTAGCATGCCCTGGTGCTGCTTGTCAGACAAAAGGCTGAAGGATGAGATGAGAAAACAACGATAGCGTCATTACTCTCATCTCAGAAAATAAACATTTGATTCATGATACGTCAATCACTGAAACATAATTATAAATTCTGGCACATAGGTACAGTTAAATATCATCAGCATTCACGGCACCGTCGCTCCTTAGATCGATACACATTTTCTGTTGTGGAAAAAATGTGTAATTGCAGTCAAGCCCTCTTGATCTGGATGTTTCAAAGTAAACCAGACTAGAACTTGCCATCTATCAGATATTCACCTTGACTTAATTTCTCCCTACAGAAACACAAGAGAAAGAACTCTTTGTATCTGAAATCTGCCCACATTTTTTTGTCAAAAATATACTTCTACCACAGTATTTGTCCCATAGTAGCAGAATTAACTTAATAAGTTCTGAGTTTTAGTACTCTATGGAACACAATTTCTGGTAGAATAAAGGAGTCAAAAATATTATTTATACCCGGATTTTGTTCAGTCATCATTACATTAACAAAAAAAAAATTATCTTATTTCTAGTTTTCCACAACTTCGGCCCCTTGACACTCTGTCTGGATTATCACCCCCCAGTGTAAACACTGCAAATTTCACAGTGAAACATGAACCATGATCAAAAGGTAGGGATGAGCCAGCAAGGGAAGTTTTCCGGCAATATTTAGAGTGTAGTGTCATCACCAAAGCTACTATTGAAGTTCAGTGTGGACAAAAATTGTACATTCCTGTCAAGTCAGAATTCCTCGGCCAACTTTCTGTGGCTATGTGTAGGCTACACTTGCCCAAAACTGTGACTGGCTCACACAAAATTACATTGCCATGGCCATTCCTAGGGTTCTCACCTTCCTCCTTGCTATCCTTTAAAAGATGATTCCAAATGTTAACAAATAGGTAAATAGAAACCACAGATTTTTGAACTTACCATTTTTATCTGCTCTCCTCAGTATCTGGAAGGGAAAAAGGAAAAAAATTATCAATATTTTTGATAAATATTATTATGAACAGGATACTCACATCCACTTCATCCATTACTAAAGTAAAGGCATTTCAATTTTAACCAAACTTTCCCCAATCAATATTGGTATTATATTCAAAACCCCCAAATAACCCAATGTTCACCAAAAAGAGAACAGATATGGAAAGTTTGGCATATTGCTACAATGGAATACTGCTAGACATTTTTTAAAAAGGACTTATTAATAGATATACTAACTGGGAGTATTTATAATAATTCAAGTGATTAGAAAACCTATAGATGAAGCAGTGCCTAAAGAATGAGTCCACTTACATAAAGTAATAAAATACAAAATAATTACCGCAACAGTAAGTGGTAAGTATTGCCTAGAAACTGGTAGGGCAAGGAAGGAAGAAAAAAAAAAAAGATATGAGGAAACTTCCGGAATGATAACTATCATCTTGACTGTGATCATGGTTTTACTTATGTCAACATCATCAAATTTAAATTTAAATATGTACATGTTAATATAAGTCAACTATGCAGGTAAATAAAACTAATGACAAGATTGAAGGATAAAATGAGTACGTCTCAATAGAAAGAAGCTCATCTGTCTTTAATTTGCTGTGTGTGTGTATCATTAATGACACAATTAAACTTTTTACATTGCCTTTGACAGAGACGGACGGCTCAACCATCTGATAGTTGTTACATTTCTCTAATGATTTCTGGATTTCTGAGAAACGAATCTTTCTTCTGCTGTTGCTCCACATGGGCACAGACTTAGGCAAACCAGGTTTCCTATCCCTCTGGCCACAGCAGCTGCTCAGGGAAGAACACAGTAGGACCAGTGACTAACAGAGCGTGATTTTGCTGGGTTACTTAGAGTGAGCTGCATTTCCCCTTCTGCTAGGTTTGAATTGAAAAAGATCCTTGCAAGGAAATGGTATCAGCTCTTTCATGAATGTTATGTTGCAGGTTGAAATGTGTCCTGTAAAAACAAATGTTGAAGTCTTAAACTTCAGTATTTGTGAATGTAATGTCATCTGGAAATAAGATCTTTGCTGATGTGACCAAATTAAGATGAGGGACTGGTGCCAGCACGGTGGAATCCAAGTTAATACTCTGTTATGTGAGCATCCTGTATGGGTACCTATTTGTGTCCCAGCTGCTCCACTTTCAATCCAACTCCCTGCTTATGACCTGGGAAAGTAATGAAGGGTGGTCCAAAGCCTTGGGCCCCTGCACCCACCCGGGAGATCTGAAGGAAAACTCCTGCCTCCTGGCTTCATTGTGGGTTAGTTCTACTGTGGCTATATGGGGAGTGAACCAGTGGAGAGATCTCTCTTTGCCTATCTCTCGTTCTCACTATAAGTCTGCCTTTTCAATAAAAATAAGTAAATCTTTAAAAGAAAAAAAAAATGAGGTGTTGCTAGAATGGGATAGTTCCTAAATCCAATAACTGGTACCCCATAAAGGCAAGAGCAAAACTGAGATGCACAGACAAAGGAAGGAGGCCTTATGGTGACAGAAACTCATTGGAGTAATGCAGTTACACACCAAGGAATAGCAGGGACTGACAGCTACCAGGACACACAACAAAAAAGGCATGAGACAGCTTCACCTCTGAGGCCTCAGATGGAACAGGAACCCATCACGGCTTTCATTCCTTCCATCTGGCCCCCAGAATTGAGAAAGAAAAATCTGTATTTTTAAAACACCCTGTTTTGTGGCAGTAGCTTGCTATGACAGCCCTAGAAATAACAGAATAATGGCATGGGCAGAACCATCTCAGGAAGCAGCATGAAGGACTCAGAGAAACTGGGCCTTTGGGGCACCAAGTCCCTGACCTAGTTATCCTGATGGTAAGATCTCTGTTTTTCAGTGCAGCAGCCAATCAAGCATTATTTTTAAATCCCAAAATAGCTTGGATTTTTTTTTTATTAGCTGCAATCTCATTAACGCTAACATGTATGTGTACATGTTTATGTATATGTATAGAAAAATCTGGATACTAAAACAATGAGAAACATACAGAGAACCAAAGAAAATTTCCCTCTATCATAACAATGACAAATGTTAGTCACTTACAAGCAGCCCTTGGGAATCACTTTCTCTGGAGTAACCTGTAATTATACTTAAATAACCAGAGCTATTCTGTTCAAACAGCATTTCTTAGAGGCAAGCATGAAACCTGGGCAACGCTTTTTAATTCCAGGTTGTCTGCTTCACTGGTTTCTACTACACAACATTACTTTCTTTTATTCTGAGAACTTCCTGGAAATGAGTTATGGCTAAATCCAATCACTACTGCTATCCTGTTTTTTAATCAAATACTAGCACTATCAAACTTTTCTAACATCAAATGAATATTGCCCTGACCAATGTGTGTAAGAAATTGGTCCTGATTTTTACTGAATTATTACTTTACAGGAAGGCTGAATTCAGTAGTAAGAACTATGATTAAAGCAAAATGAGACACCAAAGACTTATCCTCTAGCTAAGTAACTTCCAGGGGATGTATCAGGGAACTAACTCCACAGCACGACCAGCTGCTTGCACCCCAAACCAAGGGGCCCAACCGAAAGGAAAGAAGACACACAGCACAAGCCTTTTCTTACCGCAGACACACTCTTCCCATTTTATTTCAAGTTCTATGATGTCCTTGTGAGTTCCGGTCACTAGGAGAGCAAACTCTACACACTAGAGCACTGGACCCAGGACCAGTGACATTTCATTTCATAAAGGACAATCTGAAGTAGTACTCAGCATTTTAGAAATGAGATTAAGACAGCAGCTTGCGTTAATGAGACACTTATTGTAATTAAATACGAACACAACTGTCTCTGCTGGAAATTTTGCCTCTGAGCCCACAGACTAATAAAGAACATACTGCCGATCAGAGTTGAGTTCATTATATTATGTTACCACCGTAAACCAGGTCAGTCAATCTTACGGTTGTTATCACTAGAGGAAACAGCAAATGAATTTAAATATCATGGACAGGTTTCAAATTCAAATACAGATAATACTGAAGTTTCCATGCCATTTAAAGAGTAATGAAGACATTACTTTACCTCAAGAGACTACTTAAGAACACTTAAAAAAAAATTGAAGATGGGATGGCTATCACCTGGGTCACCCCCATTTCCCATCAGAGGGCAAGGATTCAAGTCAGGACTCTACTTGCACTTCCAGGTTCCTGCTAAGGTGCAGCCTGGGGGCAACAAGGGACCATTTAAACACCCGGGCCCTTCTACCACAGGAGAACTGGAGCTCCTTCATGAGCTCTTGCCTTCAATCTTACCCTGCCCAGGCTTCTGCGGCCATTTGGGAAGAATCAACAGACAGAAGTTCTTTCCACCTGACTGTCAAATCAAGTTAACTCAAATCAAATGTTTAATGAAACCCAGAAAAATTACATTCCCTAACATTAAAACAAACAAACAAAAAATGTTCCTTTGATGGCTTTGACTAAAATTCCTTACCATAAACTATCAAATGGCAGGCATGAAAGTGTAAATGTTAACCCCAAATGGGCATAATCACCATTCCTTGAGCTAATATTTGCCACTGCCTCATACCTCACAGCTGATCACTCCTGGGTAATGAGACAAGCTGGTCAGACACAAGGTGCACTTCTGAGAATCTGAGACTCAGGATGGAGTCGGTCATTGTTCAGAACATGGAATCTCATCCCAAAGGGAAGACCTAGTAGGTGACTCATGCTGTGAACACCCACAGGCGGCAATGTTACCTAAGACAAAATGTGGGGAAGTAGACCTTAAACTGAAGATGGAAGAAAGGCAACCAGCACAAGTGAGAATACTTTCTTAGTCTGGCCATGGGGGAGGCCTGTGTGAGAAACTCAGCCAATGATGAAGCTAACTGCTGTTTGCCCAAAAAGAAGTACACGGCTCTAAGTGGACTCCTTCTCCTTTCACAGGTCTCTGCCCTCAGAGACCAATGTGTACAAGGACTCAGGAGTAAGGACCTTTTGAAGGAAAAGCTATTGTTCCTTTTTACCAAGTCCCTGGCCACCTAACCACTGTGTCAGGTGTGAAGAGTATAGTCGGTGTGCAAGACAGGGGAGTTCCACCTCCCAACCTCTCAACCTCAGTCCCACCTCACCTGGGAAGTAAGACAGACAGACGTCCTTCCCAGTTAAAAGGAAGAGGAGGGGGGCCCGGTGTGATGGCGCAGTGGTTAAGGTCCTCGCCTTGCACATCCGGGATCCCATATGGTCACAGGTTCTAATCCCGGCAGCCCCGCTTCCCATCCAGCTCTCTGCTTATGGCCTGGGAAAGCAGTCGAGGACGACCCAAAGCTTTGGGACCCTGCACCCGCGTGGGAGACCCGGAAGAGGCTCCTGGCTTCGGATCGGCATAGTATGGGCCGTTGCGCTCACTTGGGGAGTGACACATTGGACGGAAGATCTTCCTCTGTCTCTCCTCTCTGTATATCCGCCTTTCCAATAAAATAAATAAATAAATAAATCTTTAAAAAAAAAAAAGGCAAAGGAGGGGAGCTGGCAGAGGGTGGATGGAGTTGCAGCAAGTTTCATTTTGGGTTTGCTCTTGCTTTCCAGGCTGAGCCGTACCCTCCTCCCTCAGCATAAGGGCGGCGCTGAGGGACCAATGGCATCCCAGTGATGTGTGCTCCATCGGGCCCGCCCTCTGCTCGGAACACAGCCCTCTGGCCAAAGGAAGCAACGCAGAAACCAGGGCCATCCTTCCGATGCTGCTGTGTTGTTGCACACAGAGCCCCGTTCAGACCCTCTCCCGTACCAGCCTGTGCGGTAGAGTCCCTTGGTACCCAGTGCCAGGTTTGCTAAGCCCCAAGGGAGGTTTGAATGAGTATTTACAATGAACTGATACTTACCCCTGTCATTTTTAAGAGACAATGCCATGTAAACTAGCTTGATAAAAAAGCAGTCCCTGTATGGGCTGACAGATTTAGCCACAGTTAATGTATCAAGTCAACACGGAACACTGCTGTAACTACTAAATTTCAAATTCATAAGCATAGTACCCTTTTTTCTCATGAACTGTTATGTCAGCCTCAGGAAGCAAATATCATGCTTATCGCTGTGGTTGACTGGGAGATGAGGGAAATGAAGCAAAAGACCACTGTTGGAAATACCACTGTGATTTTGTTATTTATCTATTTTTAGTTTCTAAGAACTGGACATGTCTAAAGTCATTAGCATTATTCTAATAGCAGTTTAAGCCCTTTCTAGAGAATCCTTCCATAGTATTTCATTTTTAAACAAACACTATTTATTTGGGCCCAGAGCAGTAGCCTGGTGGCTAAAGTTCTCACCTTCATGCTCCAGGATCCAACATGAGCACCAGTTCCTATCAGAGCTGCTCCCTGCTTGTGGCCTGGGAAAGCAGTAGAGGACAGCCCAAAGCCTTGGGACCCTGTACAGTGAGAGACCCAGAAGAAGCTCCACGCTCCTGGCTTCAGATCAGCTAAGCTCTGGCCATTTGAGCTACCTGAGGAATGAACCAACAGGTGGAAGATCTTTGTCTCTATAAGTCTGAGTTTCCAATAAAAATAAGTAAATTAAAAAAAAAAACACTATTTATTTGAAAAGTAGAGTGACAGAGAGAGAGAGAGGAACAGACAGAGAAGAGAGACAGGGAGAGAGACAGGGAGAGAGAGGAAGAGAGGGACAAAAAGAAAAAGAGAAAGAAGGGAAGGAGAGAGAGATGGAGAGAGAAGGAGAAGCAGAGAGATAAAGAGAGGGAGAGAGAGAGAGCACCTTCGTGTGTTGGCCAAGCCTGGGCCCGGTCAAAGCCAAGAGGCCGGTATTCCAGCCACACCTACATGGACAGCAGGGAGCCACACAATTCTGAGATCTCCCACTGTTTATCCAAACATACTAGTAGCAAATCAGAAGCAAACAGCAAGGACTGTGAACAGCACTCTGATAGGGAATATTGGCAGTGCTGCAAGCAGTGGTTTAACCCACGTGCTACAAGGCTGGCTCCCGTGATATTTTAAGACCACCACTGCAAATCAAAATTGTTCTCAAATTTGGAAATTAGTCTGTGTGATGTAGAAGCCTCCAGTTGATTTTACATCTTTCCCAGTTTGGACTAGATAGTATTTATTCCTTATTTATTTATTATTTTTATATCAAAAAACAATCTTTTATAGCAGTGCCATTAAGACATATTAAATCTAATCAAGTAAATGATGTATTTTATGCATATGTTATTTTGCTACAAGCAAAATGAATAATTCAAAAATCCCTAAGTAATAAATGCTCTTCCATGTCACGTATTTCACCAGAGTGTCAGATTTTTTTCACAAAATGACTCCAAGTGTAAACAAAATCCTTTTGAGACAAGAACTAATGGCAATTTATTTGGTAGACTAGCATTTTCTGACAAACAAGTATGTCAACACCTCTTACATGGAATCAGTTTCATGTTTTTAGTTTTCCATTCTAGAAATAAACATGACAAGCCCCTTCAGTGCAGTAACCAGATGCTGTCCGACCGCAGGGTTTGGGGGTAATCACACTTATTTCATAATGAGAATTCTAATTCTATCTCCTCTCTGTCTTTCAGAGTAGCTGCCTCCTTGAGCAGAGGTTGGAGTGTAGGCTGGGGAGGCTCATCTTCCATTTACGTGGTTTCAATATTTTCATCTTGACACTTTCAACAGAACTTGGTAACTGCTTTCTAAAAAAAATCATAAGGAAACTCTGGCTCTTCCTATGTCAGCATGCTGCTCTGACTCAAGTTCATGGCTAGCAGCTTAGTTAGCTGTCAGCCTCCAAAGAAACATGTTTCTGCAGCCTTGATTGGTCCCCGCCACTGGGGATATTTGGCTTGTGGCGCTTGTGGTACCTGCACCTTGTCTCGGCTCAGTTCCTCCTGAACTTTAAGGCCCTGAAGAGCACAGTTAGGGGGTACAGCACCGTCAATTGTACCATTAGTACCATCACCGACTGGTCCCAGGCAAGCAGAGATAAACGCTCACCAATGGGAAAGCACCTGTCCATCTGTCTGGGCTGAACCCATGGAAATTGGGACACTTGGATCGGAAGAGGGTGGCCAGCCCCGAACGCCTGGAATCCTGTGCGAGTCAAGAAAGAAGGCAGCCAGAACACGCACTCAAATCTTCTTTTACCTTAGACCAATTTTAATGACTGAGTGCAGTTTTTCTCAATTAAAAAAGAAGAAAACATTCCAGCTAATCCATTCAAGATAAATTCTGCAAGATTCCCCATTCCACTTCCTACCGTCTTCATTATCTCTGCTTCCCCATTATGATACTAATAATTTGATTTCCTCATATTTTCATCTTGCTACAGATAAATGTTTTTGGCCTCTGGCCCATCTCCTCCTCACTTCGATTTTAATAAGAAATGATAACTCTGATAAGGGCATGCAGCTGTATCTGCGCCTTCACCCACTTCCATCATGCCAAAGCCAGAGGCTGCCTGAAGGTCCCCAGTGGGTCAGACACTACCTGGGGAGGGGGTCAGTGTGAATGTGACAACTGGGGGGCCCACAGACAAATGAAAGAGGAAAACTCAGCAAAGACAGAGAGGGGAACCAGGCGACAGGGGAATAAAATATGGACAACGGGCACAGCAAGACCGCAGAGTCAATGGGAATAAATAAATAAGGAACCACACTGCCATTAAAACAGTAGCCACATATGAGGGAAGAAAAACCCCTCGGAAAGCAGAATAGGAAAAGCGTTGTTACATAGAGAGATGGAGGAGGGACAGGACCAAAGGCAAAATAGCTGAAACTGACAGAGAAAAGAATACTAATTACCACGTGTAAAAGTGTAAGGGAGACCCTGGGGGATCGGGGACAAGCAGCAGTAGAAAAAAACAAAAAAAAAAAAAAAAAAAAAAAGAAAGAAAGAAAGAAAGCATGATAGAGACCTCGGCCACTGCTGTAACAAGGAAAACAAAACGTGTTCCAAGTCATTGTTTCCCAGGGGCAGAGGGAGGATGGCATGGCAGGGCATCTTCTGTGCGCCACTGGGCATCCCTGAAGCTTCCGCGGCCCCGGGGCGGGCAGAGACCCCACCCCACCTCGTACCCTTTTGTTCACCCAAACGGAGACTGTGGCATTCCCAACGCAGCACCTATACAATCCTGCCATGCTGGGGAATCTAACTTTTGGAGATTTCCTTTAAGGGCTGAGGAATCTCAAGCTGCAGTCTGGGGCAGCCCTTTAGATAAGCAGAGTGGTGGTCGTTTCTTGGGTGGATGGGGTAGTTCTCTCCCAAGTTCTGGGCTCCAACACTGGCCACTCCGCTCCCACCCCCACCAGATCCCCGAGGGGACAGGACAGGTGCTGTGGCAGCTTCCAGTCCTGCCTGCGGCACTTACGTCGAGGAAGATGGACATGCCCTTGGACAGCCGCAGGGCAGAGCTCAGCTCCTCAGAGTTGTTGGAGGACGGAGATGTCTCCCGGGAATCCTCCATGGTCCGGGGCCGGCCGGGAGCCGGGCTGGGCTGGGCGGACCCTTGGGTTTGGCCAAGGGCGAGGCCGAGCTGCTGCCTCCGAGCGCCTCCGGCTGCGAGTGGGTGTGCGCTGCCTGGCGCGCTCGGAGCTCGGTCTCCCCGCCCTCTCCCCGGCCTCCGCGCTCCCGCACTGCTCGCTCTCACGCCCTGCTCACGGCGCCGGGGCCATCTCATCCCCGCACCATGCAACGCGCGGCACCCCTGATGAGGACCTGCGCGCCCCAGAACACCTGCAGAGGGGAGGGAGCGTTCCGGCAGAGACCGGCGCAGCAACAGCCAAGTAAGGAAGGACCGCGACCCCTAGGCTTGCTCCCTAAGGGTGGACACCCTAAGTCCCTGGTGGCTGGCGGAGGTTTTGTGTGCCTTGCTTTAGCTCAGAGCAGGTCCCCCTGTCCATCCCTCCCCGAAGGCGAGTGAGTTCTTGACTCCACCAGGGAGGAACTGCTGCTCTCCACTGGGGTTGAAGCCCTGACTCCGAATCTGCCTGACTCTTGGGATGTCTTGCAATGTAGCACGTTCCTAAGACTAAAGGCCCCGATTTTCCTCATCCGCGAAGTGGTCACAGCCTCAAAGGGTTGGAGTCCTGCTTGGAGTCATGCTGTGCACAGACAGGGATACGAACTCCACGTAGAGTAGGCATCCAGAAAGTTCCATTTGGAAAGGTCTAGCCCTGGTGACTATCTGGGGACTCCCAAATAAGATGAAAAATGAACTAAAAATTTAAGATGATCCTTTTTAAAAATGGGTTTAGACGAACTGTTTAACCATTGAGAGATGCTGGGCGGGCTGCCGTAATGGCAAGTTGAGTTCATCTTTCATCAGGTGGCAAGTCCCTTGTTTCCTGACATCCAGAAAGGTGTGGGTGAGGCTGTTGCCAGGTGGTGCATGGCTTACAGAGCGGACCCCCGTGGCACATTGAGGCAAACAGCAGGGAAACTTGTCCAAACAAAATTGCCTGCAGGGCGATCCAGCCTCCGTTGTGGCCTCCCAAGAAAGCAGGACGTGTTATTTCTTAAAAAAAAAAAAAAAAACAGTCCAAGACAACCAAGATGTGGCACCCCATGCTACTGCCCAAGGCTCCTGAAACATGCTGTGAATTTCAAAGGAGGAATACCTGCTAATGTGGCTACAGAGACCAAGAAAGCGTTAGTGATCTGAAAGATGATCTTAAAAATAAGTAACTTCACTGCAGTGGATAAAAAAATGAAAAGGAAAAAGGTCTGCCCGCAGAGAAGACAGCCTGAGTAAGGGTGTGGCACCAGAGAAGCAAGAGGGAGCTGAGCTGCCAGAGTCCCCACTGGGAGATCTGTGAGCAGAAACTATCCAGGGTCCTAACCCAGTCTCCCTGAATTTCCCTGTCAAAATAAGAAGCCCCATGTCAAACTAAGAGCCCCTGTGGCCTGAGGATTCACACAGAGCAAGAGGATGGTAAAAATGAGGCTCCTCGAGCACAAAATGTAAGGAAGGCAGTGCAGGCAGGCCCTCAGCCTGCAAGATGTGCAGATCCATCATCAGCCCCGCCCTGGTGGTCAGTGCGCAGACAACACCAGTCCCAGTGTTAAGTCCAGATCTGGCTGTGTGTTGGAATCATGCGTGGTGCATGTTAGCAAATTTATGTATTTGAAAGGCAGAGAGAATCGGCCATCAGCTATGCCCTCAACAGCCAGAGCTGGGTCGGATAAAAGCCAAGAGCCAAGAGCTCAATCCAGGTTTCCCATATGGGTGGCAGGGATTCAACTCCTTAAGGCGTTGCTTGCTGCCTCCCAGGATTCAGTGTGGTAGGAAGCTTGAATGGGAAATACAGCCAGGACTTGCACCCAGATACTGCAGTATGTAATGGTGTCGTAACCAACCTTCCAAACACCCACTTGGGCAACAGATTTACTGATGCCCTTTCTATAGAGAAGTGGATCCTCTCCCTTGAACATGAGATTGTGACTGCATCAGAGAATAGACTGAAGCAAAAGTGACACCACATGCTTTCTGAGGCTAGACTAAAAATGCAGACTGTGATGATCCCATTTCCGCAGCTTCCAGCCACAAGTCTGACCATCATTAGCCACCACGCACTCAGCGTCCAGGGCATATAGAAAGGCATATACAGGTGTCTAGTTGGCACGCGCAGCCGAACAGAGCCGCAGGATATCTCATTCTCTCAGCCTAAGCAGCAGAAACACCAAAGGAGCCTCCGAGGGATGCAGAGATGACCCAAGGTAGCCACAGGAGGTCTCCCAGTCCAGACATCAAGGAGCACAGAACCTGCCTCAGTTCTGGGCCTGGAGAGAACATCTGATCCACAGAGCACAGGAAAAGCTTCACTGCTTTACAAAAGAAAAAAAATAACCCTTGGTTTGACTTTTAACAATAGATAACTAAAATAAGAAGCTTTTAAAAGCCCATGAACATTTATTTAAAACCTCAGTGCCTCTGCTTCATCCCCAGATTGATATTCAAGCAGCATATGGTGGTCCCTGGGCATAATTAAAGATTTCATTTCCTTGAAAGTCAGAGTTATACAAAGGAAAACACACACACACACACACACACACACACACACACACACACACGAGAGAGAGAGAGAGAGAGAGAGAGAGAGAGAGAGAGAGAGAGAGAGAGAGAGATTGAGAGAGGGAGGAAAGAGAGAACTTTCGTCTGAAAATTCCCTCTTCATATAGCTTCAGTGGCCAGGGCTGTGTCAGGCTGAAGTTAGGTGCCTGGAGCTTCTTATGGGTCTCCAGTTGGATGGCAGGGGCCCTCCTGTGCTGCTTTCCTCAGTGCGTTAGCACGGATCTGGATTGAAAGTAGAGCAGCCAGAACATGAACTGCAATCCATCTTGACTGGTGATGTCACAGATGATGGCTTTGCGCATTATGCCTGAGTGCTGGCATCCAGACCATAATATTATTTAAAAGACAATTTGAGAGGGAGACAGAGAAAAATAAGAGAGAGAGAGAGAGAGAGAGAGAATGAGACAAAGTGACAGAGCTTCTACCCTGTGGTTAACCACCCAAATGTCTACAATGTCCAGGGCAAAGCAAGGAGGTAGGAGCCTAGATGTCTCGTTCAGGTGATAGAAACCCAGTGATTTCAGCCATGACTTCATCTAACAGATCTCCATTAGCAGGAAGCTGAAGTCGGGAGTCAGAGGCAGGAGGTAAACCCTGATACTGGAACGAGGACATTTTCACCACTAGAGTAAATGCCCACACCTGGGTATACAGTTTTTAAAAACTTTCTAGGTGATTTTGATGTGTAATAAAGATTAAGAACCACTGAATTTGACCATATTCTACATCAAATACATGGGAAAATTAATTAACTATCATCAGAAGAGCAGGGATTACAGGATGGAGAGCTGTGAAGTTCAAGGACTAGAATTCTGGACTTAATTAGCTAGAGATGAGAGATGTCAGACTTAATCAGGGAAGAGATATTGATTCAGGTGTGCTTTGGAACTGTTAACTGGCATCTTTATGTACTTCTGCCTTATTGACTATGATTTTCCTTATTGGAACTACTAAAAGAGACCCTATCCTGTGACCGGGGCTTATCAAAGAAAAATCATTAACAAAAGAAAAACTAGACTAACCACTCCATCAGCTAAATATTCAACAGTAAGTTACTGAGTTTACAAAAATATCTTATTTGTGCATGGAGCATTGACTATGATTCTTTTGCAGCAAGTGCAATGTCAGTCTGTCCCTTTTGAATTGTGCAGATCCATTCAGCCCTTAAATTCAGTCTCACAAGATGTTTTTGTTAATCCAAATGCAGAAAAAACAAGTGGTGAAGAATTTCTCTGCTTGAAAATGAAGAACGGGAGAATAATCTTTAATCATCATTCAATACCAGGGAGCAGTTCATAGCATGTAGGTAAAAACATTCCTTTTTTTGTACCAGCAAGGAATGACATTTTCTGCACCTGTGGTTTGGCATATTTCTTCTAATGGTCTACCAAGAATGATACATACATTAAACAATGAGCTGGTCATTATTTATTTCTCTAATTTCTGCATGAACATCCTGATACCATAGCTGACATCTCTTTTTCATGGAAATGTGATGTTCGTGGAAAGCTCCACTAGAAACGGATGGCAATTAGATTCTCATTCACAGCCAAATTCAATAGGCTCTGTAAAGTGGTAACCACACGTATTTTTAGTTTTCTTTTTATCTAGAGAGAGTGCATTTTTGAAAACTGTTTTCACACATCATTTTCCTGACACACAGATGCTGCCCTGCTCTGCCCAGCGTCAGTTGCAAGCAGAAACCAGCAGATTTGGGGGGAGGAAATGCATCTTTTTATCAACCTGCTTTGATAAGGGCCAGAGGCGGAAGGGTGGGGGAAGATGCAATCCTAGATTCCAGCTCTCGGGCTTCCTGTGACAAGACTTTGAGGAAAGGAATTTCTAGCGTTTCAGGAGAAGGTAATCACGAGGGACATATTGTACTCCCACCCACCCTGCCTCGCGGAGGCCCTCTCTAAACAATCCCAGATAACCACGAGTCTGCCTTGTTTGTATTTTAAATTCTAGGGAAGACTGCCCTTTTGAGCAATGACTCAGAATCTCTCAGCTAGAGTAGTGGACATTTTCCTTGCTCCTGCAGCTGATATCCAAAATGCTTCTCCTGTAGGGGTTCTGTCCGTGTGGTGTGTGTTCATAGCAGGGGCCAGGATCTACCCCCTTGGTGAGAAGGAACATAGTGCTGCTCCGTGTCTCCTGGAAGCAGCACTAGAGGATGAGACTTGGCTCATCCAATGGGCTACTTCACTAGGACTTTAAATCTATGTCAAGGGATATGAAGAGAAACGTGTGAATGGCAATGGATGCTCACAAAGCAGTCCAGTGGCCACAGCCCCAGCAGAGCCCTGAAGCCAGCTTCACCCAACTTGATAAAGGATCTTTGGTTTCCATAACCATGTCCTCCCAGTTTTTCCTCCAAGTTTTCCTATCAACTTCTGAAATACCTAGTGTTCCTAGGTATTTCTTTCTTTTCTGTTTTACCTTAGAGTAAGAGACCCTTTGTTTCTCATGCTTAAACTCTAGGTAATAAATTCAGATGAAATTCCTCCTGTTTTAAAGGGCCATGTATTAAGTTAGTGGAAAAAATAATGGATATAAGAAAATCAAATTCCCTTCAGACATTTGTTGATTGCCTGATTTATTCCACATGGCTAACAGGCATGGCAGGGGAAATGATGAAAAAGAATGATCCTTGCTTTTGCAGGACACACAAAGCT